TATAACAAAAATAATCATGTAAGACAGATGATGATGGAATTTTTTTACTGTATCCTATATATTTACATTCAATCATTGTAATTAGTGCCTTTTAAGGTTATATAGTTCAACACTATAAATATCTCCTCACGAATCCGTACTATTCTTGAAATTACTAACATTTAATTACCATTACCTAGTGTGTATTTAGGTCCCACACATATATACAAACGATATTATCCAGCCGTTAGGGCGTAACCCATTAAACTGATTGATACATTATTACTGCATTCTAAGGTTCTTTTTCGAAAGTTAACAGGAATTAATCCTTTATGGTGTCTTACTATCGACCCTAAAAGTGGATTTAGTAATTAGTTAGTTTAATCAATATAACATTTCTTAACTAGTGTAATTTTCCTTATTCTAAAGAAATAAAAATGGTAATCTACGTTAATAATTAATTAAGGTGAGATTTTTCAATAATTAATTAGTAATAGCAGAAATTTAAGTTACCTCTCGTCTTTTTAGCGTAAAACTTTGGGGAATAATGTATTCTTCTATTAGAGTCGATTCGTTAACCAATATTATCAACCACCATGGCTATTCTTATTTAAAACCATGTCATCAGGAAATTTAGCACGATATTTTTCTTCCAGAACTATTTCTGTTAAGTATTGTTCCTTAGAATATTATTTTTAAGATTCAAACTCTGCCTGCATTGGCTGTGGAGTGAATTGAGTAACTCTGTAAATGATGCAGATGGTCACAAGCCAGGAAAAAATAGAAATTATAGATAAGTTACACCTCTATAAAAAATCAGGGCTCAGTTGGTCTGACCGATAGTACTCTATAAAGGTTCGTGTCTAGAGACCTACACAAAACCTAAAGGCCGAACATAACATATCTGGAAGACAACCTTTGTCTCTTTAATCCAGTAAGGCAACCAATATAAAGAACAAAAACCTTTAATTCAAATTCTGTGGCACTACTGGTAGGGGGTTAAGACGTCAGACTTGTTCTTTATCACTATAATCTACCAAAAATCCTAAACATTGTCTTGAATTCTGGCACGGACCAAATTGGAATCGACTTCGATTACGAAAAACAACTATAAATATTGACACCTAGAATGTACAGAGTATCATGGGAAAGATGGATGACACCATTCAAGAAACTCATAAAATACTCATGATGATGTTTGGTTATCAGTGTTATTGCAAACAGTTTGTTTTCCACCGGTCTCTTGTTCTTCTAGTACTTGAAATCTATTGTTCGCTGTCATTTGTGTCTTTTGCTTAGTAGGTCTATTTATTTCTTTATTTGGTTTTTTTTTGTCACGAGGGAATTTCCTGTTCATTTGTATAACTTTCCACTTTTTCTTCGCTCGATGTCTGCTATGGATAGTAATTTTGGTTTTCGTCTGCACGCTTAGGATGTTGTGATTGATTTGAATGAGTGCTGGATTTTTATTAACTTGAGATGGTGGAGGTGGTTGTGGCTGAAGTTTGAATTAATTAGCATCATCCATCAGCCAATCGCGTCCACTGCTGGACATAGGCCTCCCTCAGTTCTTTCCAGTGTTCTCTACACGGGGCCGCTTGTAGCCAGTTTCCCGCTACACGTTTAATGTCATCGGTCCATCTAGTCGGTGGTCGTCCTCGGCTTCTTTTATAATTTCTAGGCCTCCATTCCATAATACGTCTTGTCCACCGTCCATCTTGTGTTCTGGCTAAGTGCCCTGCCCAGTTCCACTTAAGCGTCGTGGTTCTTTCGATGACGTCTTGAACTCCTGATCTTCGCCTGATTTGTTGGTTTGTTATGTGGTCTCGAAGGCTCACGTTCAGCATTGCACGTTCCATGGCTCGTTGTGTAACTCTAAGTTTATTCGCAGATTTTTGCGTGAGTGTTAAAGTCTCTGCTCCATAAGTTTGTACAGGTAAAACACATTGGTTATAAACCTTTCGCTTGAGACACATGGGAATTAAACTTTTTAGAATATGGCTTAATTTGCCAAATGCTGCCCATGTTAGACCTATTCGCCTCTGTATTTCATGTGTTTGATTGTCTCTGCTTATTTTGATTTCGTGTCCCAGATATTTGTAAGTGTCTGTTTGTTGTATGGTATTATTGTCAATAGTTATATTTCCACTCATTACGAGATTTGTTATAATTTTAGTTTTCTCAAAGTTTATCTTTAATCCTGCTCTTTCAGACAGACTTTTAAGCGAATGCATCATAGAAACTGTATCATGTAAGTTATCTGCGATTAATACAACATCATCTGCAAACCTTAGGTGATTTAATCTTTCTCCATCTATATTGATGCCCATATCTTGCCATTGAGTACCCTTAAATATTGACTCTAGAGCTGCCGTGAACAATTTTAGTGAAATATTGTCTCCTTGTCTAACTCCTCGACCTAAGCTGAATTTTTCTGTGTCTTCGTGCAGTCGTATACTTGATGTAGCGTTCTGATAGATGTTTTTGATTAGTGTCGTGTAATCTATTCGGCTTTGATTTAGGGCTTCCAGTATTGTTTGAAACTCTACAGAATCAAAAGCCTTCTCGTAATCGACAAATGCAAAAACCAGTGGTATGTTGTACTCGATGCACTTTTCTATTAAGATCTTTATGGTATGCAAATGGTCATTTGTGCCATATCCTGCCCTGAAGCCTGCCTGTTCTTTGGGCTGATAGAAATCAAGTTTAGGTGTTAATCTCTTTGTTAAGATTTTCATAAAGAGTTTGTACATATGTGTCAAGATGGAATTAATTAGCTTAAGTGTTAGGAAAGGGCTGTAATTGATTTTGGTGGTACTGTGACATATCTACCGATGTTGGGTTAGACTGTTGTAGAATTACGTATGATGTTTGCATCCTTGGCTTTGGTTATTATTGTTTGGTCGACCGGCTGAGTCTGCTGGTTGATATTTAATCCGGGTCCATTAAATTAAATTTAATGATGATTAATTTTTTATCCTTTTGTATAGTTGGTTAGAAGGTGTGTAAGAGTACAGGTTCTGTTCGCAATTTTTGAATTTAGCCGCAAATAAACTGAGTTAGTCGTTATCAGAGATATAGATATAGTAAGAGAGGGGATATGACACAAACGATATTTCCGTATTCGCTAAATGGGACCACTTAATTTGACAGTATGTACTCTCCAATATGGCGACGGGCAGGTCCGGACTCAAATTAATTCAAATTGTATTTAAGATTTACTGTTTAGTTTGGGAATAAGCATTGAGTTAGATTAATAATAGTTATTTGGAATAAAATTACTTTCATTTTTAGTACTTTTCAAGTACACTTTAATAATAATAATAAAATTTAGTACATACATAAAGTTTAAAAAAATGTACAAAAGCAGTCAATGACATGGTTTTAAAATTATAACATTTACATACAAGTAAAAAACAACAATTAGCAAGTGCACTTACATAAGTTTATATACATTTAGATATGTTAGTTTATGTACTATTAATAAAATTAATTATTGCGTATAGGTAAGGTAGTTAAAGAATGATTATATCTGCATGTAAAGATCCTTTTCCAGTAATGCGAGTCTATTATAAGGGATATTATAGTTAAACTTGTCTTTTCTAGTGTCAAAGTCGAGAGATATGTTAAACAGTTGAAAGTACTGCTTTTTAGCTGCTGCAACTGTCAACAATGACTAACTCAACAGGCGATTGTCGATATTGACCTGCTTTTCGTTATTATCCGTACCATATAAAGTTTGAGACACTCATCCTATATATAAAGCTGGTACAAAAGCTAGCTCACAATATGATGTTATATCGAGCCCTCAAATAAAAAGGTTTTATTATTTATGGATGTTAACAATTTTTACAAGAATTTTAAATAATATTTTTATTTTATTTTTTTTAACAATAATTCAAAAACTAGTTTTCTACTTCCGTTATCACACATATATTATTATTACATATAAGCAAGGGCAGAGAGACAGGTCCCTATTATAACCAAACACAAAGAAATTACATAAGTAACCTACCAGTAGATACGATATATATATATATATATATATATATATATATATATATATATATATATATATATATATATATAATATATATATATATATATATATATATATATATATATATATATATATATATATATATATACGTAGAAATTATCAGGTATAATGGTCGCTATTAAAAATTTTTGTTTTTTCTAAAGAAACTCAATATTTCGCTATTTATTTTATAGCTTCATCAGGAATACATTGAAAAACAATTTGAACATTACAAAAATGGCGTACAAATACTTTCAAAAACACTTACAGAAATTAAAAGATTTCACATATAAAAATTGACATAGAAGTATGTAATAAAATGGCATGATTAAATTGTCTTAAGCAAGTTAGTCACAGTAATATGATTAAAAAATTAAAATGACTTCAAGTGTAAAAACAAAAATAGCAATAAAAGAAAGTAGTTGTCATATGCTAGACTATAACAAAGCTCACATTTTGGTACAGGCTGATAACTAAAAAAGTAGATTATTTCTTGAGATGTATCACATCAACAAAAATAAAAATACTTTAAATTATAAAACACACACTGGACAGTTAAGTAACATATATTGTAATATATTGAACAAAATTTATAAATATTGAAAATAGCTAATATTCATCTTAATAACAACCAACCGTAATAATTACTCAAAGAAATATCATTCTTCTAACGTTTATTTTATTGCTATTTTTGTTTTTACACTTAAAGTCACTTAATCACTTAAAGTCATTTTTTAATTTTTAATCATATTACTGTGACTAACGTGCTTAAGACAATTTAATCTTGACATTTATTACATACTTCAATGTCAATTGTTATATGTGAAATCTTTAAATTTCTGTAAGTGCTTTTTAAATGTATGTATTTGCACGCCATTTTTGTAAATTTTTTACATATCAGAAAGTGAAATTGTTACCTGAGATTCACCAATTGTAGGGATTACATTCTCACGCAAACGGACAAAAGCTAATGAGGTCCTACCTATACAGTCCTCCGAAAAATGTTTGGAACACAATTTGCTATGTTTTGATGGTTCCTAGTTCCCACACTATTTACAAACTGTATCCAGCCATTTCTCCTTTCAACATCTTTAGGAAATCTACAACCACATAAACCAAATTAAAAAGATTACCTGTTCTTTTTACGCACAGCTTCAGCAGAAACTAAAGTAATACCGCCCTGTACACTGTTTACAATTTCATACTAACCCATGAAAAGATATTCCAGTGGAGTTTTTCTTATTATTTCGACTGTTATTTGGACACAAAACAAAAGCGCACGAAGCCATAATGGTTTCACTTTAAAATAAACATAAAACCGTACAAAATTAAGTTCAAAATATTTTTAAAATTAAATTTTTATACACAGAAGTACTAAACACAAACAACAATCTGTCAGATCCTCACCAATATGGCGAACCGATCCCATCTATTTTACCGTATGTCATATCCCCTCCCTTACATATCTCTGGTCGTTATAAATATAACTTGGCTAACTAAAAAATAAATAAACTTGGCGCGATTTTTGAAAAATTTTTATGAGTCTGGTGAGATCAATAGAATTTATTCCTTTTATTAACCTGCCACTGTGGAGTTTCAATAACTAGAGCCTAATCTTTAAAACCAATAACATGAAATTTTAGTTTTGAGTTTTTGCAACAAATTTTGAAATATGCTTAAAAACGCTGAATTTAAACTTTCACATTACAAACTATCTAAAACATTTAAAACTGATCTTTTCCAATTACATTAGTACATTTTTCGAAACTATCTATCTTTTGCTATAAATTACACTCTCTAAACCATCTTCTTGGAAGTATTTCCCGTGACTTGCGATTGTTTCTATTGTAAAAGTTTATAAGGAGAAGCTACATATTGTATAGAAGCCGGAGACAGAATGAATGAATTCTGTCTCCGGCTTCTATACAACATGTAGCTTGTCCTTATAAATTTTAAAGTGTTTGTTTGTCTTAGTGTATTGTATTTTGTATTGTTATGTCCAAATTTTACATTTATGACATTCTACTATGTCGGATAGGCCATAACTCACGAAATGCCCCTGAAGATGATATATTGATCGAAAGTACTTGGGCAAGATTAAATTAATCACCGTGTTCGATAGTTGCCTTGTATACCCTCAAAATGAAAAAATATAGTTAAAAAACTAATTTATTAATACTTGTCAATTTCGCATGTATTTAACAATGTCAAACATATGTCATATGTTTAACCTGAAAATTGCGACTCCAAAATTGTCAGATGAAGGCGGTAGGTGTCGCGTCAGTCACGCACGGAGCGAATAGAAACTCATTTCATTTGCGGCCAAAAACAAAAAGTTCACAGAAAAGCTACACTCTTCGCGTTTAAAACGCATTTTGATTTTTGTCAATACACTCTAATCAAAAGATATCGATTTTTTACCGTCGACTTTACACACATATTATTTAATATTGATTTCGCACGAGCCATTGTCATTCAAAATCGCCGGCCGCTTCAAGCGTTGTTTCTGAGATAACAGTTTATTCTACAGACAAGATGCTAATTAAAATTTTTGTTTAAAATTATCTCAGCTGCCTTTTTTATTTGAAAAATTTTCTTCTAAGGTGTACAGATTTTAGATAAATCGATTTTTTTGAGTTTTAACCCTCCTACAAGGGGGCTTTTAGGGGGAAGGGCGGGGATAAAAGTGATAAATTTTGTTGCATCTTATTTTAGGTCCCATTTTGCATCTTATTTCTGTAAAATTCAGCTTGCTGGTATGATTTTTAGGGGTCAAATCTCTGACAACTAAATACGATCCTGATCCGGACAAAAAATGAGTGGCTGGTATACCTACCTATATTAATTTTTTTCTTGGATACTCTATTTTATTTATAAAAATAAAACTGTGTGTATCGACGGTATTTTATATATTAGCTTGCTAAATGATCAATTTTTCCATTTATCGCTAATACCTATCATTTTGTAACTAGATATCTGAGATATATCGAGTTTAAATATAGCAACATTTAAGTTCATGTATTTTAATATTTAGTGGCTTTGAGTTTTTTCATTAGTACTCATTGTCATTTGTCATGTATTATTATTCATTTGTCTCAGATAAAATAAATTTCTAGTATTTATTATGATTGTTTCAGTTTATCCACTTCCTTTTTCCTTTCCTCGGCAAAATCCTTTCATATTGTTTTCTTTAAATTGTGAAAGTTTTGTAATTAAATAGATTGTATCTAAAAGTTCAAAAAATATCTCATAATCCTGCACTGGTTAATCTGTAGTCGAAAATAAGTCTATATTCTATTTATTTTTGGCAGATATGTTGATATGATTTACATCATGGCACGAGGCGAATTCTTTAAAAAATTTCCATAGAAAAACAGATTATTTTTGCCAACTTTTTTCCGTATTTATCGTAGTTTGTTTATATTCCTAATAAATATTACAAACATAATGACCTTATAGTAAAAAAAGGTTCAAAAATATATAACAGATTTATCAGGTTACTTCTGCACATAGGTCCACAGTCAATTAGAAGTTACACAGTAAATTATTAAGTGAATTAGTTTGAAGCTAGAAGAAGGCATTGATTAAGTTAAATGAATTAATTAAGTCAAATACAACAGTTGGAGATTAATTATTCTTCTTCTTTAAGTTCCATCTTCTATCGAAGGTTGGAAATCATCATGGCTATGCGGACTCTGTTGACTGCCGCTCTAAAAAGTTCTGCACTACTGCATTCAAACCATTCCCTCAAGTTCTTAAGCCAGGATATTCTTCGTCTTCCCACATTTCGCTTTCCTCGGATTTTGCCCTGCATAATAAGTTGTAATAATGCGTATTTTTGCCCTCTCATCACATGTCCCAAGTACTCAAGTTTTCGTCTTTTAATAGTTAATATTATTTCCGCCTCATTTCCTATCCTTCTAGTTACTTCCATGTTTGACATTCTTTGAGTCCATGATATTCGTAGGATTCTTCTGTAACACCAAAATTCAAAGGCGGCCAACTTATTCAGATGAACTTGTTTTAGTGTCCAAGCTTCCAGACCATAAAGAAGAGTAGAGAACACGTAACATCGAAGCATTCTCAGGCGTAGTTCTAACCTTATATCCCGACAACAAAGAAACTTTTTAAGTTTAATAAATGATGTACGTGCTATTTCAATACGTGTCTTAATTTCTTTGGTTTGGTCTACATCTGATGTTATCCATGTTCCTAAGTATTTATAGTTATTAACACTCTCAATTGCAGTATCTTCAATAGTCAATTGGATATTTGCATGTGCAGATTTAGTCATGATCATGCATTTAGTTTTCTTTAAATTTATCTTCAGTCCGTACTCATGACAGCGTTCATTAAGGCGTTGCATTACGTTCTGTAAATCATTGTTGTTATCCGTAATTATTACTGTATCGTCTGCAAAACGTAAGTAATTCAACACTTCTCCATTGATAGATATACCTTCTATTGAGTCTGAGAGCGCTTCTTGAAATACGGCTTCACTGTAGACATTGAAAAGTAGTGGGGACAGCACGCAACCCTGGCGGACTCCTCTCTGTATTTTGATATTTTCGGTGTACTGGCTGTCAACTCTTACCTTGGCAGTTTGATTCCAATATAAATTAGATATAATTTTCAGATCACGACTGTCAATATTTTTGCTTTTTAATATATCTACAGATTAATTATTACTACAGTAATATAGTGACAGTATGAAGTTAATTCATTGAAGTAAGCATTCAATAGTAGTACAACCACAAGATCCAGTATATTTGAAAGTACATTATATGGAAATTACAAGGATTTAAATTTATATATTTATATGGTGAGTGGAGATAATTAAGAAGAAACATATTAAAATTGTTGGATAACCAAGGCTGAGTAAGAAAATATCGAGTGGTGATAATAACTTTAATTTTGGAAAAACTTTAGGCGTTCAGTGACAGAAAGGTACCAAATTTTGTTAATAATTTAATAATTGTAAGAATTTCAAATTTTAGATAGATTGTTTTAAATTGATATTGCTTATATTAGATAGATATGTTTGTTTCATAATAGTTATAATAAAGATAATTTAAAAAAGTACTTACAAACTAATTCTTTGAGAACCGCGATAAAAACCCTATACTTACATATATCATTCAAATTTACTCATAGCTCATACAGAAACAACACATCATAACAATATATATATATATATATATATATATATATATATATATATATATATATACATATATATATTTATATATATATATATATATATATATATATATATATATATATATATATATTATATTTATATATAATTGGATTATTTCGTGTGTCTGTCTGTCCATAACGAAAACATCCGTTACATCATATATCCGTTGTTATTGGTTCGATTGGAACTTATAGAGACATACGAGATATCACATGGCACTATGGATGATAATAGATATGCTATAAGGTAAATTTGCTTTGTTGATCTGAAGAAGGTTTCCGACTAAGTAAAAAATAAACAACTGATCGAATCCTAACATACGACACAGCAAATGAAAGAGGAGAATCTAATAAATATATTCTTCTTCTTCTTAGGGTGCCTGTCCGTTCCGAACGTTGGCGATCATTCTGGCTATGATGATTTTGTTGGTTGCTATACGAAATAGCTGTGTTGAGGTCTTTCTATACCATGCTCTCAGGTTAGTAAGCCAGGATATTCTTCTTCTAAATAAATATATGAAGATATAAAAAACAAACAAGGAGTCTAAAGGCCAAAAGGGCACTGCAGGGCGTCTTCATTATTAATGAATGTACAGCGACATAAGCGATAAAGTATGATGTATCTATAGATGGCAGCGTAGAACACCTAAAGAATAAATGTTTACTCGGAGCAAGTGATACAGTTCGATGATAAGTCAGTAGATATTGAGGATATAGCGCCTCACGCTGTCCTGCACAATTTGAGGTAGGATGTTATATCACAACGATACATTCCGTTGTACCCGGAACTTCCACATGAGAACATTTTACCAACTTGAAGTCTCTATAGTGCATCAGCCTGCTATCGGAGTGGAGGATGGTCGGGAGCATTGCGAGGGGTGAACTGGTCCCTGATTTACACGTAATCAGCCTTACCCTAATGAATTGTATACCCGAATCTCATTTAAAGGTGTAGAAGTAATCTCAAGTTGAGTTTACTTCCGTTGCTTGTGAAAATGATCATCAGAATGTTGAATGTTGAATTTAGGTAACAATTTTATACTGTCAAAACCTTAAGTTCACCTAACTCCCTAAAATGAGAATTGGTATC